AATTCGGTTTAACCTTCAGGTTAACGTATGTTGGATGAGTTTTTACCTGCACTGGTGCCAATCCACAGCAGATCCTTACAGGCCAACAATGCAGTGATTCTCAGACAGGCGGCCTTGTGCTGTCTGATGATCGCATCTGCACCTGAGTGGACAGAAAGAAAAGAGAGGACGGGATGGAGGTCAGGGGAGGAACAGTGGTGAGGATGATGATTTAAAGAGGAGAGAGAGAATGAGTGGTAGATGATGTAGGAAAAATAAAGAGGTCGGGGGAAAGGCATTGAGTTATTTAAAATGGGAACTAAAGAAAGAAGAATAAAGGATGTGAGCTGCTTTCCAGAATAACGTCCAGGTGTGTTTACCTGCAAGCATCTTATGCACAGCAGGCGCCACGTCCACCTCTGTCAGGCTCTCCCGACTCTGAGCGTGGTATAGTCTGACCTGCGCACTGCCCTGCAACGCCAACCACACACCCTGACCATACGCCACCATGCAAGTCACGCACCGACTGCTGTCTGTGCCCACCTGGAACCAGTGCTGAGACGAAGGGAAGAAGTGTTACACACACGATTGGTCTGTCTGCCTTGTATCTTAGTCACCTGTACACACATCCATCCTTCCACCTACCTCTTGTACCAGTGTAGTTGTGTTGATAATAAGGACTCTGTTCTGTGAGCCACACCATAGCTTTCCTCCAACAGGAACCATTTTGGTGACAGGGCTACTGGGCGTGCCCAGAACTAACGTCTGCGAAGACTGAGGGTCCCAGAAACTACCTGCAGATTGAGAATAAAGGGGGATTACACAGGGAAAATACAAAGTAAGCAATTTAAATAATTTTGATAAAGCAGGCAAGATTATTTTTGAAAGGTAATGTTAGTGTCTTAAAGTGTTTGGAGCCCTTTACTTCTATAGGTGCAGACTAGCAGGGGTGTACAGTAGCAGCAATTTGAACAAAATCTTACAGATAAAAAAAAAAAGCACTTAATTCTTCAGTTACCACTGAAACTGACTGAAACCCCACCCCACACTCCCATCTTACCGGCTTCTCTCTGATACACAATCACCTCTCCATTGGCCAAAGACACAAACACTTTGTTGTCCAAATATCTGTAGGAATAAGTATAGTAACCAATAAGTAAAGCATACAAGCGCAAAGCATACAGAACACATTTGAACCAGGCAGCATCAAATGGCTCTCCATTGCTTTTCCTACACAGCATGAATTCCAGTATTATTTCTGTTTTTAAAGGCAAAGTTGTGGCCAAGAAAGCAACTCACAGTATACAGAGGATGGAAGCTGAGTGTTGCATCTTCATGCTGTTTTTACGGTTACGGATGTTGTCCGAGGATTGGTACACGTGGATGCTGACAGAAACAGAAGCATTATAGGAGATTAGAAAACAGCACACCAACGAGTTAGGAAGCTATTTCTGCGTGAAAACAGAAAATAAATAACAGTTGTCGTTATTTCCGTATGAAAATGACAAACATCCATACAACTCTTGATGAGGCAGTGGTGGCCTAAAAGTGTCTCCCCTCCAAGTTTAGACAAAATATGTATGGTGTTTGTTTGTCTGTGTGTGTGTGTGTGTGTCTGTGCATCACACACACCATCCATCCTCAGTGCCCAGCCACACTGAGCTCTGGTAGGCCTCCGGGTCGATGCTGAGTAGATCCTCCAGGCTTGCCCTGGTGAACGAGCCCCTTGAGGAGCGGCGCATGGCGCGGCCGTCCATGGGGCTGTCTGTGTGGGCGCGTCCTCCTCCGCCGCCAACCCCCAACATTCCTGGAGGTCCATAGGAGCTTGCCACCGGGAACTCCTGCTCCTCCTCGCTGCTGGTGGTCTCTGTAGCCATGTCCTTGGAGCCTGGACCCTCGTCGTCTGAGAGGGAGAAATTAGAGAGAGTATAAGTATATAAAGTATGTACACGTGTGTGTGACTGGAGTGTATATGGGTGTTTTTACTCACTGCCATAGTTGGATGATATGGTGGAGTGACTGGCCTGACTCTGTAGAGTGGAGGAAGGGCTGGGTGAATCTTCATCATCGGTGTCATCACTGTCAAATGGAACAAGCTCCGCTCCTGGTCCTGGAAACAATCAATTGATCAATATGTATATAGCAGAAAACTGCAGTACATAAAAACAGAAACAGATCAATGTAATCCACGTAGATTGATTTATTTTAATGTAGGAACTGTTGCTGCTTGTGCTTGTAAAACCTTTATGGACCAACCTGTAGGTTGCTCCGTCAGCTCCAGAGAGGAATGAGAGATAGATATATGGAGCTGCTTCTGGGCGTGACCGGGTGCTCCGGAGGTAGGGGCGTTGGTGGGCTCTGATCCACGCTCCCTAACAGGTGAGGAGTGACTTGTTAATGGTACAGTGTATAGATGAAACCAGGAATAGATTCAATGAACCAGTCAAGCAATGTAAGTGAGTTTTTATCGATAAGCTCATTTTATTATATATCAGGTTTTCCACTCAGAGGTACTTTTAATGACGTCAGAAGAAATTGGCTTACTGGCTGTGCTTTTCCTACTATCACAAGTTGACAGAGGACACCACTTGTACTGTATAGTCTAAAATTACTGCTGTGCAATAACGCCTAGACGTTCATTAACACTATTAACATATTCATCAAACTTTTGACATATATCCAGGAGCTGTCTCCAGTCTGTTAGCGTTGTATAAGACTAGATGTGACAATGGCTGCCTTTTAAATTGCTTTGTGTCTAGGAGGGAAAAATGAAGTTATAATGTACATTTGAGGCTTCACAAATAACTTGTGTGTTCATGCAAGTGTGTGTGTACACTGACCTTCCCTTGAGTCCTGGTACCGCAGCAATACATATGATCCTGGCTGAGCAGACAGCGATGCAGGCCTCCACTGTGGGCTCATCTTTGATATTCAACAGACACACCTGGGGAAGAAACACCATCATCACATCAGTCAAACTGTACCCACCAACAAGCATGTGGAGTAACGTGATCGCCTCTGTAATTTAGTTTGTTTTACTGACTATAAATGAATGGACACATTTATAGTATTTTCTCACCTGTCCCACGTATCCATCACTGTTACACACCCACACCTCACAGCCACTGTCAGGACAGCTGTGGCTGGGAGAGGCACAAGAAAACTGGAGACAAACAAGAATACATGAGTCAGTATGACTTTTATTCATCTGTGAGCACAGTTTGTCTTTAGGTATGAACTGATTTAAATGACTGACATAAATCATGACTTTTATTTTCATATATACACACGGATTATACAGTAAATACTTCCTGCTGCTCTCACCTGCATCCCACTACGTGTCTTCATAATGGGGATGGCCTTCAGAAACTCTGGTTCCCACTGGTCCTTATTCATTGCTAAACACAGTGACACAATCGCAATTAGACCACTTAAATAAAGTATCTCTAGTCACAATCATAGCATTAAAATCCTTTTCGTCTAAGAAACTTGAGAAAAAATAATTTCCACTTGCTGTGCCTACAAGCAAGCGAAAGTTCAGTATATAACATTTTGTCTCACTAGAAAGTCTTTTCACTGACCTAGCTTTTTCTTGGCTTCTTCAAAGGCCTGTTCAAAGTTGGAACGAGTGTCAGGCGAGGTGAACTCGAAGACGAAGCTGCTCTCAGCAGAGGCTGTGGTAAACTCCAGCTTCGTGGGCAGAAAGGTCATGCTGAAGGCCAGAGACTGCTTCTCTGACAGCTCCCTGTGCACCGACGCCATCAGATCCTTTATTACCTCGTCGAGGGACTGAGAGAGATGAAAACGACAAGAACAAGATGTTTTACCACATCACAGGACAGAAGACAAGAAGAAAAGGCCCATTATAAATAATTTTTTGGAATGGACAGAATGAGGGAAGGAAGAAAGTTTAAGACTAGAAAAAACCGAAGATACAAAAAACGTGTGGCTGCTGTTTGCGTGTGTGTTGGTCCACAGTACCTGGTGTGGGAAGCTGAGGGTCTCGGACAGTTTGCTGATCTGACCCAGAGTGCTGAGATCCTCGTCTAATCGACTAATCATCTTCTGGATGCTCTCCTTGTTTGTTGCCTGAGTGGCGCCTGATGCATAGAGAATACCATCATAATAAAAACTTCAATATGATGGGAAAAATTGTATTTTGTCACCAGTGATATTAAATGCTCAACACTAAAGTTACATGAGGAAAAGGGTGTGTTTCATGGCATCAGCAGAATGTGATTTTAAGGAGACTTACTTTTCACCACCTCCACATCCTCTAGGGGAAGCTTCCACAGAAACTTGTATTTACTGGAAGTGTCGATCACACTCGCAGCAGAGTATCTGGGAGAACAGCAGTGGAAAGAGAGAGGCAAAAAGAAAGGTGTTATGGACAAAAAGAGGTAAATATTAAGACAGATTTAGTCAAACCAGTATTGGCTGTATGTCTGTTGTTCAACACCAGGGGGCAGTGTGGTTCAGAAAGTATATAATGAATGTGTGTGTGTCTTTCCTCTTCTGTCAAGTGTTTTTTTATGTTTGTGTGTGTACGTGTTTATTGCGTACAGGCTCATGGAGCTGCGTCTTAATGAGCCAGACTTCCTCTTGAGAGTGGTGCAGATGATCAGATCACTGAAGAGGAACAGAGATCGGTCTTTCTTCCCACCGACTGTCTTCTACAGAGAAGGAGGAGGAGAGAGGAAGAGCTAAGAAAATCGTAACTTGGGTTGTGGGTCATACATATAACAATTAAAGTTTAAATACAATAAATTTTGCTTTAATCATTTCTATTACTTTGACTTATGTCATGTATGTATTTGTCAATTCTGAAAATTCTGCTTACCGCCTCCATGACCATTTCCTGTCTCAAGAACTTCCTCTGGGGGTTCAGAATCTAACACACACACAGAGAAAGGTGATCATCACTTAATCACTATAAAAAACAACTGTAAACTGATCTCGCTCTTTCATGATGGAACACAACAAGCTCAGGGAAACCTTTTTTTACTATTATCTTATAAACAAACAAACAAAAAAAAAAGACAATGAAAGTAAATGTTAGTTCATTAACTGTACAGAGAACTTTATACATTAAATGTCTCACATGTTCAACTCCCTCTATGTGCGCCTCGATCTCCTGAATGACCCTGGCCTCCCTCTCCGCCTCCTCAGCGGAGCGACGGCCCTTATTGATCTTCTCGGCCAGTCGCTTGATGTCCCTCTGAGCGTCCAGTAAGTACAAGTGGTCCGGGTGATCCTCTGAGGTGTGCTTGAGCAGGTCCTAGAACAAACAACACAAACATGAATACACATTCATCTCCCTTCACATGGGCTTCTTGTCACTAAATACAGGATGAGGTTACTCAGGAAGTAATAAAGTAGTTATTTTTTGAGACTGTTCACCTTAACCAGCAGCTCGTATCGAGGAATCCTCTGGACGGGTTTAATCATCAGATCACCCAGAGCCTGTTTCTCCTTGTTCTCACGCATGTTTTGCTGTTGCGGAGGGAGGGAGGAGGAAGAAGACAGAGCATGGATATGAGAGAGAGTGAGAAAATAACTCAAGGAAGCTGAGAATAACAAGATGATTGACTCTAAAATCAGGTCAGTGTTGCACTTCATGTCTCCACCACAAGATGGTGAAGTGATTCCACTGGAAAAACCCAGTCTGGCACGGAGCTCCCTGTGGTTGAAAACTGAGAACAGGACGAAGACATGACAGGTTTTTGTGGTGGCTGATTACATTTTTGCATCTGGACTCACTGCACTGTTTTTCCCATACATTTATTTCTGGTGGCACACCACATTATCAAAACGTACAACAGTGGTCGACCAAATTTAACTGGACGTATTGCTAAAATATCCCTGGGTTCTGAAGTCAAATTATCTGGTTGAATTGCTTTAAATAGAGGGTTTGTAGGACGTTTAACAGACAATAATTTGGTTTTACTTACAGTTACAGAAAAAGGAGTGAGCCAGAGAGATAAAAAACGGTATTTGCTGAAATAGAAAATCAATTTCAGTAGTATCTGGCCTTGTAAAAATATTTTACATCCTCTGGATCTCCTGAGTAGAGGAAGCTGTCAGCCCCTATGTCAAAACATTTTGCATGAATTCAATGACGTGAATATATACACAATTCTTGATTCATAAGACTGATCCTGAAGTGCTGTATTTGTAGGAGTATCTCTCTTTCAAAGACTCACTCATGGGAATACCAGCATGGACTAACAGGGGGAACAAGACAGGAAGCACACACACACACACACACACAGAGATTAACAAACAGACAACAAAGCACTTTTCAGCCTGAGAATTAAAGTCAAAAAGTTGGTACAAGGTTGGAAAAGTCACCCTCATTTCAGACTCTAAAAGCTGGTTTAAAATCCTCTCCACTAGACAGGAAAACATTTCTAGACTAATTTCTAACTTTCCAAACAAACCATTAAGAGCAGCCGCCCAGACAAACAGGACATGCTGTGAGTCAGTCCAACACTCACCTCCAGAAACTTGTGAAAAGCTGGTTTGGCCTCCTTGGCAATCCTCACAGCATCTTTGGCGTTAAGAAAGTTGTCGATGTATGCTGAATACATATTAGCTAGAGTCTCTTTGGAGAACTGGAGGAGACAGAAAAAAAGAAGAAGTAGAGGACATGTAAGTTAGTTGTGTGTACAGTTTTATGTGACAGAAGCTTGTTTAAAATGAGTCTGATGGCGTACATTTTTGTTGTACGAAAAATTAAACAATCCAGGTAGAAATTGGTGCGAAAGCAGGATATCTGAGGTGCTGGTAAGAGAATTAAACAGCTATTAGAGCTAAAACAATTGATTAGTTGACAAAATACATTTTGAATATTTATTCATTGTTTCGGTTGTTTATCAAGCTAAATTGTTATTTCCAGTCAATATCTTTCAAATTTGGACTGTTGATTGAACAGAATAGGACTGTACTGTAGTATCAAACTTCAAAAGAAAATAACCTTCTCATTTAATATAAAAAGGTGTACGAAGATGCATCTACAGTTAGTTTTTTTGTTTTGGCTGGCATTAGAAAAGGATATTTCTAATCTTTCTTTTTTTACTCCCATAAACATACTTAAAACACACGCAGGTAATTCACCCTGACCTGCTGTCTTTTCACAAATAGAAGACAGGGGACAGAGGGACACCGAGAGCTCAGAAAATTAAACAAATAATAGGAGTAGAGAGAGACAGAGAGAGAGTGTTAGACGTAAGGCACAATGTGGTGCCTTATTTAACGTCACAGAGTAACCTGATTTCTACCCTTTCATGAAATAACCTGACCCTATTTCTCTTTTATCATCTAGCTCCCAGAGTCCTTTCCTCCCTCCATTCTCCCACTTCTCAGTCATTGAGGACAGAGAAATAACATCTGACGAGAATGTGAGGATTAGTCACAGCAGAGGAGAGAAACGGCAGAGAGAATAGGAATGTACTCCGTCACTACTTTATATAAAGGTGAAACGTAATGTGCCTCTCTAGCAGCTCTGTTGATGATGTTTCTTTAATTATGTTATTGGCTGAGCTTCTATATAAATAGTTAACCTATTTAAAATAGATAACAAATATCTGTGTAGGAGGGAAGGAATCTGTCAGTCTTAAAAATATTTGTCGTAACAGAACACAGAAAGAGAGGACAGAATTCTGATTTATCCATATTTAAGTCTACCAGTAAGCATTCAGCTGTGAAATACATCTATTGTACTGATACCCTAATTTAGATTTACAGCTGATCAATGCGGATATTTCCCACAAACCACGGAGCAATGACACAGCAAACTTGACAAAATCATCTGCTACTTTAAACTGCAAACGCCTGAACAAAACACATGCCCCGTGTGAGG